AGTACTAAAGTAGAATGAATTTTATTGGGACCCCCAATTGCAAGGTTGGACTAAAGGTAGAACCCCATCTGTCGTGCAACTCCAACAATGCTTTGACAGCTGGGACTCTACCAATTTCCCATGCTTGCAGGGTTGTATTTAGCACTGAGCCATGTTGTATGTTTGAATGTAAGCATGTGTTTGTATGGAGTATGTTTGTGTGAATGTGTTTGTATGTGGTACTGGAGTTTGAATGCAAGTGTGCATTTATGTGTAGTGTTTGTTTTTGAATGTAGGAGTGTGCTTGTATGTAGTGTTGACGTTTCAATGCAGGAGTGTGTTTTATATCTAGTGTTGAAGTTTGAATGGAGGGGTGTATTTGTATTTAAAGTTGCGGCTCAGATGCACAGGTACACACTCTGGCGCACAAGCAGATACACAGATACATACACTGACTACATACAGATAAACAGGCACATACACTGACAGACACACTGACACAGGTACATATATTGACACACACACAGACACATACACTGGTAGACGTACTGACAGACATACTGACACAGGCACATATACAGACATACTGACACACAGACACATATACCGACATACTGACACACACACACAGACACATACACTGATCAACATACTGACACACATGCACTGACAGAAATACTGACACCCACACACTGACAGAAATACTGACACCCACATACACTGAGAAATACTGACACACACACAGGCACATACACTGACACACACAGACTGATATACTGACACACACACACAGACATACTGGCACACAGACAGATATACTGACACATGCACTAACAGACATACTGACACACACATACTGACACACACACATATATACTGACACACAGACAGACATACTGACACACACAGACATACTGACACACACAGACAGGCATACTGACATGCACAGACAGACTGACACACACACACAGACATACTGAAACACACACACACAGATATACTGAAACACACACACACAGATATACTGACACACAGACAGACAGACATACTGACAAAAACACACACAGACATACTGACACACAGACAGACATACTGACACACAGACACTAACACACAAACACACACACTAACACACATACACTAACACACACTAACACACAAACACACACTAACACACACTAACACACAAAGACACACTAACACACATACACTAACACACACTAACACATAAACACACAAACACACATACACTAACACACACTAACACACATACACTAACACACAAACACACACTAACACACACATACACTAACACACAAACACATAAACACACATTTTTTTTTTTAAATGTAATCCCCCAGCCTCCTTACCTTTTGGAGTGCTGGGGGTATTCCCTGGGGTCCAGTGGTGCTGCTGACCCCGGCGGGCAGGTGGCCGGTCGGGCAGGAAGGCGGGCGCGCGAGGGAGCACTCACTGCTTCCTCTTCAGCTCCCTCGCGCACCGCGTAGGGATGCCGGCGCCGGAAGATGACGTCATCTTCCGGCTCCGGTATCAGTGCGTGAGGGAGCTGAAGAGGAAGCACTGAGTGCTCCCTCGCGCGCCTGCCTTCCTGCCCGACCAGCCACCAGCCCGCCGGGGTCAGCAGGGCCAGCCTCGGGGGGCCCTGGGGTGGCCGCCTCCTGGGCCCCCCAGGGGAAGACGCTGGCCCTGTGGGTGCATACCAGGGTCGCAGCCGCGACCCTGGTATGTACGCCACTGCCCTAAGTGCATGGGCCACCCGGTGGGACGGGGGAAAAAAATAAATTGATGAGGGCAGCGGGGCCCACGGGGCAGGTGCCTCGGGCCCCCCAAGAGAAACTGGGCCCAGGGCAGCTGCCCCGTTTGCCCCACGTTAAAGACGGCCCTGATCATTAGTTACCTGGGGCTCCCCTCAGTCAACTACAGCCAGAGTTGGTGGTCCCACCCTGACAAATGAGCTGTATGCAGTGTTCAATGTGTGTGCTGCATACAGTCCTTCAAATTGAATGTAAATCCACCTATTGCTATAACTTAAATCCCTGCTCACCAGGGAAACCCAGCCATCAATTGTTACCTGGGGCCACATTTAGTCTGATCAATGAGCTGTATGCAGCGCTCAGTGTGAGCACTCTATATTGCCCTTCAAATTCATTTAAAAAATTGTGGTTGAGCAATCGCACACAGCTGTGGTGATTCTAGGGTTGAAAGTTGCTCAAGACCCTGTCAAGGTCTCCCTGCATGCCTCCGTGCAGATTATGATTGGTACAGAGCTTTGCCAGCTGCCCAGTACAAATCACATTGTAATTGGCATGCTCTCTAGAGTTTCAGGATGACCGGGATCTCCAACTAGTAGATGGCGGTCACAGATCACTCTCCACCATTGTTTTAGCCTAAAAATCCCTTTGCTAATATCAGTACTTTAGGGTTAAAATTAGAATGAGCAGCACCCACCGCCGCCACATGCGATCTCACTACTGTACAGCCTGCTGAACACTCTGCACACTGATGCTCCCCTTCCCTATTTCATTAAATATTGGGAGAGGGACCTGGGACACACACTAACAGCTGAACAGTGGGATACCGTTTTCATACTCCTCCACAAATCTTTGATTTGCACCAAATTCCAGGAGTCTGGATACAAGATGCTCTCCCACTGGTATAAAACACCAGAAAAACTGGCCGCTATGACAAATACATGCGACCCGGAGTGCTGGAGATGCGGGAGGGATTTGGGGATCACTATACCACATATGGTGGACGCGCCCTCTCGTCAGACCCTTCTGGGAGGCTGTACAGAGAGTCCTCTCAACCATTATGGATGTGAACCTACAACTTACACCAGAAACTTACTTACTCCAACTCACCACGCTCCCGCTCCGCAGTTACAAAAAATATCAGTCTTACACCACCTGCTCAGCGCGGCCCGAAGCCTTATTCCATGTCATTGGAAACGAATTACAATCCCGACACTGAGGGAATGGATGAACAGGGTGGAGGACATCAGACAAATTGAAAAATCGATTCTATCTGCAACTGGCCGTTCACAATCTTACCATGACACCTGGTACCACTGGCTGTCTTCCGCCACTAGCACCAGAAACCCATAAACAACAGTGAAATACAGAGGGCTACCTGGACCCGCCCATGGCTGGAGTGGGCCCTCCAACGGCCCAACACCGCAATAGCATCACATGTCTGGAGTCACTACACCTGGTGCCTCGCCAGATGGAAAGGACACTGCCCGACTGGAGGCTGGGGGGTGGCTGACCCTTTTCTCCCCTTGCCTTCCACCTTCTCCCTCTTGACTCATACCTTAAATTCCTCTTGCACTTCCCCCGCTCTTCCCCCCTCTCTGTACTTGATATCCCCCCTACCCCCTCTTCCCTCTCCTCTCCCCTGCTCTCTCTCTTAGAGGACCTATGTGTCCCACCTTCCACCTCATACACCACCTACATATCTAGAATGCGCCACACACTCTCTAAGACGCTCACATACACAGACCCTCTCCCAAACGAGAGTGGACTACCAAACACCATTACATCTAAATACTAAGCACCTGGGACTGCCTAGGAGCAAAGGGAATGACTAACCTACCTAAGGGTCTCCAATGGCAACACAATTGTCCGCCAGGATATTGGCCGTACCCTTCCATGAATGAAATTAAGACTTAGAGACACGATAACCAGCTAGGTTTCCTTACACAACCATACGCTGCAACGCACAACTGGCATAAGTGCCGACCTTAAGCAGTGCAGTACCACACCCAACCTGTATGCCCCAGGGGTGCCCAGATCTCAATTTAACCTACTCATCCGACTTCTTACCATTGTCCGGTTGGTCTGGAAACAACAAGCCTAGCGTTACTCTGGTAGATATTACTGATATAATGTAATACAATACTAGCTATATGACTGTCTCTCTTCGATGTTGATGTAATTTCTCTTTTAATACGCCACCCTTTGGCTATACTGCCTTCAGATAACTATGCATTCTTAGTTAAAATGCATCCTTCTTATAGTATGTATCTCCCAACTTAATAAACTTTGAATAATAAAAAAAAAAAAAAAAATTAGGTATGGGTTCAGATTAGGATTAGGACCAGCAACGAAATCCCAAAGATGAAATTAGCAAGGGAATTTCTTTGCTAACATCTGCAGAAGAAATCCTTTTAACACGATTACTAGCGTGATGATTAAATGGACCAAAACTACTTTACCATGAAAAACTGTTTGGTGTATAGATCATGCCCCTATAGTCTCACTGCTCAATTCTCTGCCATTTAAGAGTTAAATCACGTTGTTTATACTTACACAGCCTTCTTAAACACTTCCTGTAAAGAGAAATCTAATGTTTAAACTTAATTTATTGCACATTCTATTTAATTTAGAATTTGATATGTCCTGTTCTATTACTAGCCTTATAGACCCTGCAGGAGCCGCCGGTGTGTGATTAGAGTTCAATTTACAGAGCAGGAGATAAAAACTTCTAGAACAAGTTCAAATACAGACTGTGTGAGTCACAGTTATTGGAGGTGCAACTAGGGCTACATAAACATTAAAAACATATATTTAACTCCTAAATGTCAGAAAATTGAGCAGTGAAACTACCGAGACGCAAACTATACACAAAAATGGCTTAATTGAGGTAAGGTGTTTTATTGCCTACAGTGCCTCTTCAAGCTTAGGATTAGCATAGGTTCAGGATAAGGACTAGGATTAAGATTTATACTTTGTGAAGGTATACATATGGGGAATTGTACTCAGAAGATGTTGCTGAGCACTGGTAAGGGAATCTAATTACAGTGGCACAAATTAGATTTTTTTTTAAACGTAACAGCAAAATTACAACGTGTATGTGAAAATTATAAATGAAATTTAATAAAACAATTTTTAAAAATGGTAAAGGGTGCATGGCCTGGACGAGCATGGAGCAAAACGCCTGAACGCTGAGCTCTGCATCCCCTGCCATATTATAGCAACTAACCAGTGCACTACCAACCACAGATGGTCCACACCAAAAAACAATCAGTGTCTGGGACCTCAGCGGCGGACTCCCCCCGCCGATACACGGGCCCGATGGATGGGTACATGGCATCGCAACCCGAGGCGCGAGACATACGGCCTCCAGACAAGATGGCGCCCGCCACACCAGAACGAGGGAACCCTGAGGTAGCTCTATCAGACGGAGATCCCCCCCTGCACAGAACTAGCCCAGATCTCTCTCCCAGAATATTGTCAAAGACAGATACAGGCAAACTGGCACAGGAAATACGCGCAGCCCTCCGGGAAGAACTGGGCACGGACCTGGCCTCACTTGAGGGCAGGATGGATGAAGTGGAGGCAGCGGCGCACGAAAGCACACAGCAACATCAAGCCACAGAAGTAGCAGTTACCCGCCAAGGCACCCTCTTACTGACCCTCAGGAGGCAGGTGGAGGACTTACAGAACCGCAGCAGGCGCAATAATATCCGCGTGAGAGGCCTACCTGAAGCGGACGCTGCCCCACTCGCCACCACCCTTGAAGCGCTGTTCAGACAGGTACTGGGAGCTGATGCACCACCGGAGCTCCACCTCATGAATGCACATAGAGCGCTGGGCCCACCACGACAGGATGGGAGCCCAAAAGATGTAATTTGTTGCCTGCGAGATGGAGACCTGAACGAGCAGATCATGAATGCCGCCAGGGGGAAGATGACAATCAGATTCCGAGACGCCGACATATCCCTGTTCCAGGATCTGTCCCCACTGACTTTGGACGCCAGGAGAGCTCTGCGCCCAGTCACGAGCACACTCTGGGAAAAAATAATTATTTACCACTGGGGCTTCCCCTTTAGCTTACAGGCCAAACAAGGCAACACCTGGGTGACAGCACGCTGGCCAGAAGATATTCCTGGCTTCCTGAGAGCTCTACACCTGCCAGCACTTAGGATCAGGAACTGGATCACTAAAGAGGTGCTAGCAGCGAGACAAGACCCACTGGCACCTCTTCACACTAGCGGGACCATCCCGCAGCAAGGCCGCTGGGGAGGCCCGGCGGGCGCGGAGTAATAAGAAGCTGCAGAAGTCAAGTGACACACAAGCGGTTGGTGAGTGACCTACAGAAGGGAGGAAGGAGTACACTGGGGGACTGGGGCTGTGGGGGGAGCGGACACTTTGGGAGGGAGGCAAGTGGAGTCTCTAAGGGCTACAACACACTTGGGGTGGCTGGGACATCAGGGACACAGCTACCAATGAGGGAGCGAAGGGCTCCAGGGCCACAGTCGTGGCAAAAGTTTGGGAGGGGTGCGGGGTAAGAGGAGGTCTACACGGGGACCGGCAGGGGATAGGTTGAGGGAAAGAAGCAGGCTGAGTACTGCAGGGCTGGATGGGAAACGGGACGCTATGCTGAAAATGGGGAAGACACATATGCAATAGCGAACCCCCCATAGGGGGAGACCACAACAATGAGAACCAGTACACCCAACGCACTCATACCTCCATGGTGGGAACAAGAGAGGAAGGGCAGGAATAAAAGGGGTACACTTAGATAAGGAGGCCCTACGGGCAGGGCCGGATTAACATAGGGGCTGATGGAGCTACAGCTCCAGGCCCAGGCCCAGGCCCATGGAATAGGCCCATTTAGAGAAAAAAAAAACTTTTTTTTTTTTTTTTACACACACACTACTTTTGGGTTTGCTACCTGACTGGTATTTTACCAGCACAGCTTGTATTTGAGACTGCCTGGCTGTGCCAGTATTGCAGTAATACCGGCAATACAAATGCAGAAATTTTTCTCAGTATAAACAGAGATTACTGTGCAATACCAGCACCAGCCAATAGGGGTCACTGTGTGTGGAGAGAGGAAGAAATAGGAAGTTACTCCCTGCCTCTCTCTATTCACTGATCCACGGGGGCACAGCTACACAGCACAGAGAGTTCAGACCGCAGCTCCCAGCCTGCAGACACAAACTACAGCTCATGGAAGTGAGGGATGGGATAAAGGCTGAAAGATGGGGGGTGAAAGGCAGCAGGGAAACATGGGGACACAGACACTAGGGGACACTGAGACATGGGGATGCTGAGACACACGGGGACGCTGTGAGACACACGGGGACGCTGTGAGACATAGGGACATTGGGAGACACATTGGGACTTGGAGACACTAGGGACACAGTGTCTCCATGTCTCCCAGTGTCCCCATGTCTCCCAGCCAGTGTCTCTAGTGTCTCAGTGTCCCCATGGCTACCAGGGTCCCCTAGTCTCCCAGTGTCCCGAATGTCTGTGTCCACATGTCTCCCAGCCAGTGTCTCCATGTCTCCTGGTGTCCCTATGTCTCCCAACCAGTGTCCCTAGTGTCTCAGTGTCCACATGTGTCTCAGTGTCCCTAGTGTCCCTATGTCTATGTCCACAAGTGCCCCCATGTCTCCCAGTGTCCAAGTGTCTGTGTCCCCATGTCTCCCAGCCAGTGTCCCTAGTGTCTGTGTCCCCAAGTCTCCCAGTGTCTGTGTTCACATGACTCTGTGTTCCTAGTGTCTTAATAACCCCAAATGTCTGTGTCCCCATGTCTGTGTCCCATAGTGTCTGTGTCCCCATTTCTCCCAGTGTCCCCAAATGTCTGTGTCCCGATGTCTCCACATGTCTGTATCCCCAAGTGTCCCCATGTCTCCCAGTGTCTCCAAGTGTCTCAGTACCCCCATGTCTCCCAATGTCCCCAAGTCTGTGTCTCCATGTCTCTGTGTTCCCTGGTATCCTAGTGACACGGGAAACACTGAGACATGGGGACACGGGGAGAAAGGAGGACATTGACACTGGGAGACTAGGGGACTGAGCGACATGGGGATACTGACACTGTGATACATAGGGAAACTGATGCCAGGATGGCCTTCCAATTCTTTGGACAGACATGCCCCCTTTTTTGGCATGTTCGCCCCTTTTGGCAGTTCTGGTCACGTGATTCGCGTCAGTGGCCCACCCTTTTACCCCACCCATTGACTTCGTACTTCACGGTATACTGCTTTTAGGAGGTATGGATTTACTTGAAAGATGAAAGCATGAATTAGAGAGAGATTAGCAAAGAGTTTGTGTTTTCTTATAGCTGCATCCTTTGAGTTTCCCTCCAACACCACCTCCACCAGATACATGACGCTTGGGTGGTATGGTTGTTTTAGTGTTTTTAGTCGATAAGATTCTGTAATTAGGCCCCATCATAATTGTCAGCAACAGGCCCACTGGGCTCTTAATCTGGCCCTGCCTACGGGGTCCAGTCACCCCTAGGACTAGCAAGCCCCAATACGACATGGGAGGCAGGAACGATAACAGGAGGGTAGGAAAAGGAGTCTAAGACACAGGGGTAAACATAATGGATGACTAGTGGGACACACGGAGATGCAAAGACACTGGTGCCCGACTCAGACCCCCAGGACCCACTCACGAAGCATCCTGACGATCAGTTGATTTGCAACCGACAGACCACACCACCTCCCGACTCGATATGCGACGGGGAAACGCACGAACAACAGACCCCGTGACTAAGCAGAGACGGACGCTAGAGACCGACCCACTGAACAGCCCACGAGGACCCCCTAACAGACGCACTACACACGATAGGTTCTCCGCTGCACGCTATAGGGACATTATACCCAAACCAGTGAGAAGCCACTGCAGCACACCCACACCTTAAAAAGACCTCCATTGACCATCACACCGTAGTGCCACACATGCCAACCCGGCCGGGGAGGCAGGACAGTGGATAAAGCGGTTAGATTCTTTACTAATATTTGTTACACATTATAACAGAGTTCAGGTCACAGTTTATAGTTAGTAACCAATTTAGGGAAACGTGCCAAAGCACTGTAACTGCTCGGTGCTTGACAGAGTGGACCCCGCGTGACAGGTGCCTACTCTACCCTGGTGTGGGGAGTGTGGCCCACCCCCAAGGGGAGTGAGCCACGCACCGCCCGACCACAGACACCAAGTCACAGAGAATCCCAGACTCGAGGGGGGGGATACCATCTGATACCACCTCCCGAGTGGGTCCCTATACTGGGTAAAAAACACAGATCGGACCACCCCGAATGACATCTGATGTTCGCGCCCCCCGCTCCTTCCTCTGCGGAGGGCCGGTCTCCCTCCCCCTGCCCATCTACCCCCTCCCCCCTCTTCTGCCCTCCCCCGCCCTTCGCCCCTCTCCCTCTTGCCTCCCTCCTGGCTCAACTACAGTGGAGGCGGGCTCTCCCCTTCCCCCCGGTGGCCCAGTGGTGGCGGGGTTCGTGTCGGCCCTGCTCCACATCTGGTCGCACAACGTGCGAGGCCTAAACGCGCCGGAGCGGAGGTCGCACCTCCTGTGCTCTTTATGGGCGTCCAGGGTGTCCGTCGCGATGCTACAGGAGACGCATTTCAAGGGAAGCACAGGACCATCCCTGAGGGACTCGAGATACCCTACTGAATACTTCGCAAACCATAACCTGGCCAAGAAGGCGGGAGTCGAAATCCTATTCGCGAAAACAGTCCCGTTCCAGTGCACAGAGACATGTAGGGACCCTCTAGGGCGCTATTCCTCAAGGGCACGATTGGAGACACCAAATACACCTTCGCCAGCATCTACGCCCCAAACACCCGACAGCATCGATTCCTCAAGAGTACCCTCCATAAACTGGAGCAGTTCCGGGAAGGCTTGCTCCTCGTAGCAGGGAACTGAACATGGCCCTAGAGCCACGACTAGACACTTCTAGAGGCACTAGCTCGCTGTCTCATCAGTGCTTATGAGAAGCTAAGGAGGTGCTGAGAAGGGCGAGCCTTATGGACAGCTGGAGGGTGTTACACCCGACGGACAGAGACTACTCCTACTTCTCCACAGTACACCACCGATATAGTAGATTAGACTACATCCTACTTCTATCGGCGGACATAAAGACGGCAAGCTGGTCAGACCACGCGCCCATCTCAACCAACCAATGGAGGATGAACAAATCTGAACTGATGGATGTACTACAGGTTGTGGACCTCTGCACCGCTATCACCACGTACTTTGATATAAATGACTCACCGGATATCCCCCCACTGACTACCTGGGAAGCGAACAAATGTGTGATAAGGGGACACCTCATCCGGGTCTGCACGCAGAGGAAAAAGGAACAAAAAAAAAATATGGAAGATCTGATCCAAAAAATTGAAGAGATGGAAGGTGCACACAATACCAACCAAACAGATGGCGCCTATAGGTTACTACTGGAAGCCAAACGGGCTCTCAGAGACCTCCTATGCCACAAACTTCAACACACGATTCGCAAGTCCAACCGTTTCTTCTATGAATACTCGAACAAAAGCCGGCGGCCCAGCTCCCGGACAAAATCACGACAGCATTTCACTCATATTATACGGCCCTGTACAACTTGCAGCACGGTGAGTCACGGGAGGAGGAACGTGCAATAACCACGCGGGTGACAACATACCTACAACAAAATGTGGCGAAGACCCTGACAGACAAAGACGTGGCGCTGCTGGAGGCACCCATCACGCTTTTGGAGCTGCAGGTGGCCCTGAAGTCAACCAAGCTGAATAAAGCCCCTGGCCCAGACGGACTCCCAGCCAGATACCTCAAAGAGTTTGGAGATGTGCTTCTGCCACAGCTCCTGAAAGGCATCAACTCCATACGAGATGGGGGGGTGTTCCCCAGAGACTCCCTGACAGCGACAGTAACGGTTATACCAAAAGAGGGAAAGGACCCAACAAACTGCGGAAGTTACAGGCCGATATCCCTCCTGAACTCGGACCTGAAGCTTTTCACTAAAGTCCTAGCCACACGAATACAGGACTTCCTACCGGAATTGGTGGACCCGGACCAGGTGGGCTTCGTCCCCGGAAGAGAGGCTTGAGACAATACCACCCGAGCACTGAACATCATCCACACGGCGGAAAAACTGAAACAACGGACCCTTCTCCTCTCGACGGATGCGGAGAAGGCTTTCGACTGCGTGGACTGGCAATAAATGACCGCCACCCTCAAAGCGATGGGGATAGATCAGTGTACACAGTACAGAGCGCCAGGATAAGGATAAACGGAGTCCTGTCACCAACGTTCTAGATCCAAAACAGGACGAGACAGGGATGCCAGCTCTCCCCCCTTCTGTTTGCCCTCTCCCTGGAACCATTCCTGAGGGTGGTCAGACGGGACGGGGGTATCTCTGGGTTTACCCTGAAGGGCACTACCCATAAGATAGCGGCATACCCTGATATGCTATTTTTCATTAGTAACCCCCTGGTCTCCCTCCCAAACCTGTTAAAAGCATTCCAAGACTATGAGCAGATTTCAAATCTGAAGCTTAACACCGATAAATTGGAAGCAATGCTCATCTCCACAAAGCCTGAGGAGGTTGCCCATCTGCGCTCACAGTACACGTTCTCCTGGTGCACTTCCAGTCTGAAATATTTAGGAATCTGGCTCCCAACGGAACTAACCCAGCTACATGCCCACAACTACCCAACCACCCAGGATCCGCAAGACCCTGCTTTACAGACCGAAGGAACAGGGGGGGTGGGACTCCCTTCCATGAGTAACTACCACAGAGCTGCACATCTCCTACAAATAGTGGAATGGCATATACAACACTCGCCCAAACACTGGATACATATGGAGAGGGCGATGATGGAGGGGACAATCCCGGCAATCATCTGGAGATACAACCTGATGAGGAACTCCCCAGCCCTTGGCCACCCACACTGAAGATATGGGGAGCCATACGGACGAAGCTCTCACTCACCACATTACCAGGCCCAATGACCCCAGTGATACCCAGCGGTCGGACTCACGCCCAAAGATGTTGCCGCATTTGGCGGAGCACAGCGGTCCCATGTGCACCAGTGGTGCACCACAACAACACTTAAATAACTGCCCGACCTACTGACCGATAAGACTCCGACGTGCCTGGAAAGGTTTAGATACTTCCAAGTAAAAACCTACTACAACGCCCAACAGGGGAGACGCCTTTTCCACAGGTTGCTTACGGGGTTCAAGAAACACTGCGAGGCTGGGATGCAGATCCCCCAGGGGATCTGGACCCTCTACACAATGCTCAGGACGGCAGTCCTGCTGGAACCTGCGAAACACGCGGCGCGCTGGGAGGGAACGACGGGCATGGAGCTCACCGACGCCCAATGGACTAAAATATACATTCTGAACTACAAAACTACAAACTGCTCAACAGATGGTACCGCACCCCAGAACGATTACACCGCATGCTACCAGATGTCCCAGACACATGTTGGAGATGTGCACAGCGGGGGACACAGACCTCCATATATGTGGTCTTGTGAAAAAATATGGGGACACAGACCTCCATATATGTGGTCTTGTGAAAAAATAACCCCATTCTGGCGTGAGGTCCACGGGGCAATCAGGGAGGTCCTGGACACCGACCTCCCGTTTCAGCCGCTTCCGATGCTACTTCACCACACTCCGACGCCTCTCTCGCAGTATAAAAAAAAAAATCATAAAAAATCATAAAAAATAAAACATCCTTAACGCAGGAAAACTCCTGATCCCAAGCAGATGGAAGTCAACACAGATTCCCACACTCCGACAATGGATGGATAAAGTCGAAGAACTGCAAGAGATGGAGAGTCTCACGGCAACCATACGAGATGAAATGGAGAAATATCAACACTGTTGGACTCCCTGGATTCTCTACCTGGCAGGACGATAGAGAGACCGCATGGGACCCTGCCCTGTGTGTGCCGGCTGCGTCCGCGGGGATGCGGGGGAGCCCCTTTATGAGCCCACTAGACCTCTCCACCCGCCCTTCACCCGATCCTCCCCCCTACCCCTTTCCACTCAAACAGAGAAAGAGCTGAATGGAGGCGGCGGGGGGCACAGCCTGAACAACCACACCAATATGACTCACTAAGAGCCGAACAGATAGGTGCAGAGACAGATTACAGGTAGGGAAAATAAAGAGATAAAGTGAGGGGACTCCCCCATGAACTACAGAGCCACAGACCGTACACGCAAAACTGAACACACTTAGAATACAGAACCAAAAACACACACCACGGCAGGACGACACCATGGCAGGACGACGCACACACCACACGCAAACGAAGAAGCTCAAGCAACGCACACACGACACCACCACGGCAGCAAAACCCACCCAGAACACATCAGGAGAACACCGTATCATCGAGACGGCCAGAACACAACAAACCCAACCACAAACAGACCATGCATTCAAGATACATACTGACAGCAACTTCCAAACCTCAGACGCACGGCCACCTCAGCTTAGAACAAGGGAGACAGAGATCGAACCGCCCAGCACTAACACAGGGACATGGAAATGTTACCCTTACCTCATATAAAACTACGGTAACGGCTCCTGTCTCGCTCAAAATAATCAAATAAAGAGACCACGTCAAGAACACAGAATAAAGCGGGGGCGCACAGCTCTGACAAACAGTACTGCACATTTTAAACCTAAAATAGCCAGGCTTTACCAAGCCAATCATATTGCAACATTCATGACATAATGTATGCCCAACGATGTGGTATAACAGCCCTAGACTGAAGTATACAATGATACCAGCAGAGGGCCATCTGAGTTGTAATTATTGTTAAACTACATATGTTCTAAATGTAATATGACAGTCATATCTGACAAATTTCAATAAAAACAAAATAAACCCCAAAAAATGGTGAAAAAAATGGTACTTCAATATAGCTCAAAATATATCATGTGACAATCTCCATGGTGCCACATTTGCAAATGGTAGGCATTTATAGAGTAATTTAAATATTTAATATATAAGCTACACAAATTACTACAATGCACCATGGACCCATCTTCAATGTGAAATAAAAAAACTGCACTGGGCAGGTTATAAATTCAGGCCAATATTTTTACAAAAACTTGACAACATGAGGAGGGGGTCATTCTGTACACAGGAGATATAGCTGAGCATAATTTAGTGATTGTTATGTAAAAACAAAAAACTTAAATAATAATATATACTTTGAAAGAATTTTAAAATGTCAAAATGACATACCATATAAAATACTGTGTGGTGAATACTTTTACAAATTACATGCATTTATGGTATAATTTAGACTGTCAAATGAGACATAGGCCTGCCAAATTCATCTATCAAAATTCTAATTGTAAAAACTAAAATCATCAGGTCTCATATATGACACTGTAACCTCACAAGACAGTGGCAAACAGTGGGGATATTATTTTATTCAGAAGATGTAGCTGAACATGGGGTTTTGTACAGTAGTAGCAAACATCAGGTTTACGGAAAACCCCCCACAAACTAAACTGAATCAGGAAATACTGGGGAACAACTCAAAACCTCCTTAGCATGGGCATCCAAACCTTAAAGACAACGATACGTACACATGTTCCCTACCACAGCACTCACCAATCGCATATGGGACACCTATAGACAAAAACATAACTAATGAGTGAATAGAGGCACTGACATCAATTATTCCTGATTTTAAACATAGGCATAGGGCTGGCATCACATCCACACATCAAATAGCACCAGAGAATAACATTCTAGACTTTAACACCTTACAAGACACGCATGGCATTTTTTTTTTAATAATAATTTCATTTTAATTCGACACATATAAAAGACAATTTCCATATACAGTGAAAAACACAATTTTCTTGATATTGCACAACATATATAGATACTGTATTGGAGGATTCTCAATAATAAATATTCCAACTCATTTCACTTTTAAACAGAAATGTTATCACAAAAATGTATCCCATGTAACTTAAAGGACCACTATAGACACCCAGACCACTTCAGCTTAATGAAGTGGTCTGGGTGCCAGGTCCAGCTAGGTTTAACTCTTTTTTCTATAAACATAGCAGTTTCAGAGAAACTGCTATGTTTATAATAGGATTAATCCAGCCTATAGTGGCTTTCTCATTGACAGCCTAGAAGGGGACTATTTGTTCTTAATTGAGGCTTTATTTAATTCTGCTTGAAAAGTCAGGAGGGCTTTATTATTTTCTGCTTGGTGACGTGCTTGTATACTGATTATATTGCCTCTCATGGTAGATTTAAAGGCACACCAGTTATTTATGTATGAGGTGTCGTTCGGGTCATTGACAAGAAAAAAAATCACCAATTTGTTTATCTAATAATTCTAAATTAGTTTTATATTTTAAAAGATTATCATCTATACGCCAAGTTTCACGGTTGGTCCTGGCCCATTGATTTTTCATCTCCCACATATTTATACTATGATCTGACCAGGTATTGTCAAGGATCTTAAAGTAATTAATATTTGTTAGTGCTATTGCATTTCCCCAGACCATATCTATTCGAGAGTAAGACAAATGTACTCGCGAAAAAAACGTATACTCCAGTGATTCAGGATTAAGCGCAGTGGTGTATCCTGGTTTTGTGCTGCCCTAGGCAGGACAAAACTCAGGCACCCCCCGCGCCACCCCCACCCACGCAACCGCCACCCAACCTTCCCCCCTGCTCCGCCTTCTAAATACACACACATTCACTGACAGATACGCATTCACTAGCTAACAGAAACACACAGTCACTAACAGACACACACTCACACACTCACTAACAGACACACACACTCACAGGCAAACACACACACACACTAACAGGCAAACACACACACTAACAGACATCCACACTAACAGACATCCACACTAACAGACATCCACACTAACAGACACACACACACTAACACTAACATACATACACTAACATTAACATACACACTAACACTAACAGACACACACACTAACACTAACATACACACACTAACATACACACACTAACACTAACATACACACTAACAGACACAAACACTAACATACACACACACACACTAACATACACACACTAACAGACACACTAATAGACACACTAACAGACACACACTAACACACATCCACACACACACACACTAACACACACAAACACTAACATATACACACACACACTAACATACACACACTAACAGACACACTAACAGACACACTAACATACACACACTAACAGACATCCACACACACACACACTAACATACATACACACACTAACATACACACTAACAGACTTCCACACACACACTAGTGTTTTTTTTTTGTTTTTTTATTTAACCCCCCCCAGCCTCCTTACCTTTGGTAATGCTGGGGGGGGTTCTTCCTCTCCCTGGGGTCCAGTGGCTGCAGGGCGGGCGAGCGGCCGGCGAGGGAGCTCTTCCCCTGAGCGCTCTGCTCAGCTCCCTCGCGCGCCGCCAGCAGAGTGAGGCTGGGAGCCGGAATATGACGCCATCAACCCGGCTCCCGGCCTCACTCTGCTGGCGGCGCGCGAGGGAGCTGAGCGGAGCGCTCAGGGGAAGAGCTCCCTCGCCGGCCGCCCGCCCAGCGCTGCAGCCACTGCCGCCCAGCGCCCAGAATGTCTGTTAGCCGCGAGGCTAACAAGACATTTGCCTTGGGCATTTGGGGGGCGGTTTTTTCTTGCCGCCCCCTGAAAAATGCCGCCCAAGGCAAATGCCTTGTTTGCCTCGCGGCTAATACGCCCCTGATTAAGCGTTCTCCATAAATCAAAATAATCATAATTAATCATATTTCTCTTAATAGATTTTGCTAATTTATCTGTTCTTTTATGATGTAATAGTGTTGAAGTAAACTTTTTATCTAGTGTCGGGTCCAACACACTGTTGAAATCCCCAGCTATTAAACATATACCTGTTTTATTGGATTCCACTAAGTCAAAAAAAATTTTTAGGGTTGGAGCTGGAAAGTCATTAGGGAGATATATATTTATCAGCATATAGGGTATCTCATTTAATTTACAGGAAACTAATATCTACCCTCCTTATCTTTAACTTGATGCGTAATTTCCACTTTTAATGTATGAGAAAAGACTATTGCTACTCCTCTTTTTTTTAATGGCTTAATGAAGCGTGAATCACTATAAGAAATCTCGAACCACCCAAACCATGATTGTCTATATCTTCAAGTGCTGCACTCCATCTGTAAAACTGAGTGTATATTTTCTTATAAACATTCTATATTACCGTTTCTTAAATATGTCAGTGAAAATTAATTATTGCTTACATGTTTTTCCCTTTTTCCTTCCTATCCCTTTCTCTTTCCTTTTTTTTGTTACCTATTGTACATCCCCCAAATAGCTTCACTCTGTGAGCGTGTATATTAACACTTTATAAATTTTATTTAATCCTTCTACACCCCTTATACTTAACCTAAATTTAGTTCCTTCTTGACCTAAAAATTAAAGGTTATTAAACCTCTCATCTTTTCTATATGTTTATACTATTATCTATATAATCGTGATTTACTATATAACTTTAAAAAAAAATAATCTTTATATAACCTTAAATAGCTGACTTATATCTTACTTATATATATCATATTCAAGTGCTGCACTCCATCTGTAAAACTGAGTGTATATTTTCTTATAAACATTCTATATTACCGTTTCTTGTAAATATGTCAGTGAAAATTAATTATTGCTTACATGTTTTTCCCTTTCTTTCCCTTCCTTTCCCTTTTTTCTTACCTATTGTACATCCCCAAATAGTTTCACTCTGTGAACGTGTATATTAACACTTTATAAATTTTATTTAATCATTCTACACCCCTTATACTCCTCATATTTTAAATAAGCATTGCCCTTCTTATTTCTTTTGTGCTATTTTTTCTTCTTCCTTATTCTTTTATGTGATGTTTCTACTATATACATCAGCCATTTATTACAAGAAGAAGAATTTTTTTTTTTTTTAATTAGTTAATTAGAGCCTGATCCATTAGGATCTAATTTTAATTATCACTGTAATGTTCTCCTTATAATTCTGTTGGTAAATAGGAAATCTTTTTAAGATGACCAACGGTTATTCAAAAAAAAAAAAAAAAAACCTCTATAACTGTCCTCTTCCATCCACCCTCCTTCAGAACATCTTCTATCTTCTATTATTACGCTGCTCCAAACATGTGTTTTTCTTCCATCCACTTTCTCAGGGAGTCCGATGTTATAAATTTTTCCGTCTTTTCTTGCCAAAAGATCCTAAGGCATTTGGGAAATCCCCATATGTATTTCACTTCTCTTGCTCTTAAAGTAGACAACTCCTGGCTAAAACCTTTCCGCCATGATCTTGTGTAAAATGATAGATCTGGGAATATCTTTAAATCCTTGAACCTATGTTCCAATACCGGTTTATTTTTTAATATCCCCATTATTTTATTTTTGAGATAAAAAGATTGGAATTTTACTATTACATCTCTTGGTGAGGGTTCTGCTATATTTCGAGGTCTAGGGAACCTGTGGAATCTTTCTAATTCAAAATCTTTTAGTCCAGTTTCAGCGAGTAACGACTCAGAATAATCCATTAAAAACTTTTTCAGTGTTGGATCATTAACTATTTCAGGGATATTACGGATTCTGATATTAGATCTCCTGGAACGATCTTCCAAATCATTTAGTTTGCTCTCTAATTTTTCCACTTTGAGCTGCAAGTCTGTCATAGTTGTCTGTATTTGATCATATTTTAATTCAGTTTGCATCATCTTGGATTCTATAGATCCCAATTTTTCTTGCATACTTCTTAATTCCTGTTTTAAATCTGATGACCCCTTCTGAATATCTTCTTTAATATTCTCCAGAAGTTTATCCAAATAATTTATTAGGATCTCTTCAGTTAAAGGTTTACCTACTTGCTCGTCTTGAGAGGGATTAGAGTTAAATTGAGGAGGGGTGAGGTATACCGAGTATCCAAAATCGCTTGAAATATATTTTGAGAGTGGGAGAAATATCCTGACAGTCTTTTCTCTGGAATGGGATCTTTTTTTCCCCCTCTCTCTTATCTTCCTGTGTTTTTTTGGCTGCCATTCTGTATATCTTTTTTCGTTGATGTATATATCTCTCTTCCTTCAATTTCTTGGCTTATTAGATGTGATTAATACATTTGAAGACCATTCAATATGGCATTCAATATGGCAACTTGCAGCTATTTGCAATTTAATATCTCATTAACCCATTTATCCATAAATATGGTTTTTGTGATTGTATTTGCCAACATTTTTGACGAGCTATAAATGCTGTAACAGACCGTTTTGCACACAAGAGGTTAAAAACCGTTTAGGCGATATTCCCCTTTTCAGCTACTGCAATCACCAATCTCCCGAACTGCAAACACATGAATTCACCAATCTCCGGAACTGGAACCAGGGGAATGCGCCAAACTCCTGAACAGGAAACACACGAATGCTGTAAACAGCCAAACAGGAAAAACCATACAAACAGTTTACACTCCTGGCAGTCACACTGTAACTGCATACAATCCAATTCCCCCCAAGAACGAGACGACACTTCGTTTGAGGGTCAAGCAGAACTGATTTACTGGGGCTACCTGCCCGGCTTTTATGCAGGTCTCCCACCTGGTGGACACTCCCCTAGGGGACCAGATGGGAAACTGGGACACAAAGGGTAAAAGGACCAATCACAAGCTTACACATTTAAACAGATCCCACAATGCACTGCAATCCCTCCTCTCTGTCCTGGAGATAATTGGGAAGTAATCAGGACAGAGGCAAAACTCCATTAGCCACGTTAGTAAAAAGACATAAAATTACACAGTGTTACAATTACTACATAAAACATATACATTCAACATATTCCCAGATAGCTTAGATCTGAGCGCACATTATTACCGAATGGCGCTCAGATCACATACATACAGTTCAATCGCCATGGAGCCAAAGTCTTTCCCATTGTCTTTCGGTATACGAATGGGCTCCATGGCTTAGCTATCTGGGGTAACACTGCTCACATAGGAAAAATAAAAGGTTTTTAATGCAGGGCCATAGTCCAGCGGCAAGAGGTGGGCAACCAGGATTCTCCAGTGGCGAGGCTGGTTCCACCACAAATGCGTTCTGTAAAATCCAGATTCTATGTTTTATTTAGGTTATTGCGCTCTTTTAACCTTATCTGTTCCTTTTTGTATTGTTTCTCTTTTTTTTCTTCCCTCTTCTTTTCCTTCCCTTTTCCCTTTTTTTCACTCCCCTCTCCTCTTTTAACTGTCCTTCCTTTTCTCTCCCCTTCTCTTTCCTTATTCCTCCCCCTTACTTCCTCCTTTTTGAACAGTCAAAATTTAGGAAGTGCACTTATCTTTTGTTGTAGTTTGATGTTATTACGGTTTCATCACTCCTCTCTTATCCTCGTGTTTGGTCGCTAGTATTCCCCAGCCTAACAGGCACGGTTGTCGGCGTCTCCTTGAGCAGCATGTATCTTCCCCGGCCACCCTTCCGCCATATCGCCCCTCCTCTCACGCAGACGTTTCGAACGCGCCTACGTCATGACGCTCGGCTGAGACAGATTTTTAATACAGCAACATTTTTATACATGCAAATGAAATCCTAGCTGAACGAATATTATATAAAGAGTCCTACAAATGTATATGAGCAACAGCTGACAGGTGTTGAAAGAAATATGCATAAAACTTAAAGGGACACTATAGTCACCAGAACAACTACAGCTTATTGAATTTGTTCTGGTTAGTAGAATCATTACCTTCAGGCTTTTTGCTGTAAACACTGTCTTTTCAGAGAAAATGCAGTGTTTACATTACAGCCTAGTGATAACTTCACTGGCCACTCCTCAGATAGCGGTTAGAGATCCTTCCTGGGTCATGGCTGCCTAAAATGCATCCAAACATTTAGTATCTCCTCCCTCTGCATGCGGACACTGTGAGGAGATGCTGATTGGCCAGGGCTGTGTTTGAATCATGCTGGCTCGGCCCAGTGGCGTACACACAACCCATGGGGCCCTGGTGCGAAAACTGATCCATGCCCCCCCCCCCCCGCTTACTTACGCGAGTAAGCGCGGACCGGGGCCGCAACACATGGTGGCGGGCACCTGGTCGCAGGGCTGCGACCGCGGTATGTACGCCAGTGCATGCAGATACACATACACTTAAAAGACCACTACAGACACCCAGATCACATCAGCTCAATGAAGGGGTCTGGGTGCCAGGTCCCTCTAGTTTTAACCCTGTAGCTGAAAACATAGCAGTTTTAGAGAAACTGCTGTTTCACTGAGGGTTAATCCATTCTGGGGAGGAATTCTGGGGGCCGGTCAGCGGGCGGGCACGTGAGGGAGCACTGTCCCCTGAGTGCTTCCTGTTCAGCTCACTTGGGCGTCATCTTCCGGCTCCAGCATCAGTGCGGTGCGCGAGGGAGCTGGGCAGAGAGCGCTCAGGGGAGAGTGCTCCCTTGCGCGGCCGCCAGCCTGGTGACACCAGGGCCAGCCTCGGGGGGCCCTGAGGTGGCTGGCTCCTGGGCCCCCCAGGAGAGGAGGCTGGCCACTCTGGGTACATACCGGTCGCAGCCGCGACGCCTGCGACCCCGGTATGTACTCCACTGGCTCTGCCCCTGATCTGCCTCTTTGTCAGTCTCAGCCAATCCTATGAGGAAGCATTGTGATTGGATCAGGCTACCACTTCTGATGTTGTCAGCAGGCAGGTCTAAAGGAAACAGGCACAAAATAAGCAGCTGCAGACTTGAATACAAGTAAGATTTTACTATATTTATGGAGGCATGAGGGGACCAGGGTGGCTAGATCGTGGTTTTAACCCTATAGGGTCAGGAATACATGTTTGTGTTCCTGACCCTATAGTGCTCCTGTAAGCCGCCCATATTCTGTATGCATTAGAATATGAACAAATCCACCCTAAAATATTCTCGTTTATATGAGCCTGGGTAAAAGAAATGGACCGAACATAAGACGAACAACAACGGAAATATTCACAGCACATAAACAGCTCACCTTGTGTGTCTCTTATATAAAAGTACTATATAGATGGTACATAGTCCCGGCGCCCTTAAAGCACAGAAATCTGGAGACCTGAGCAAATCATACTATTGGAAGCAGATAGCCTAGTTAATTTAATTTTACTGTATTCCTAACACTACAGTGTCCCACTGCCTTCACGCCCCCTCCTCCTACCCAGTAATTAAAGGGTTAAAACACTCATTTTTTATTTACTTGTTTAAGGCGTCGAGGTCTCTTAGCACTGGATCAAGTCTGCTCCTCCCTTGAGATCACACCGATGGGGGAACCTAATGCACATGCAATATAAGCGTCGCACTCACATTAGACTTTCCCCATAGGAAAGCATTGAGTCAATGCTTTCCTATTGGGATTTTGAAGACACTGGGCATCCTTATGCAAAGCATGAGGACATCCAACATTGTTTTACCAAGTGCAAACCTAGTGGAATGCCAGGAAGACAGCCACTAGACATTGTCTTAACCCTTCAATGTAAACATTGCAGTTTCTCAGAAACTGCAATAATTAACACTGCACCCAGACCACTTCAATGAGATGATGCGGTCTGGGTGCCTATAGTATCCTTTTAATGACTGGATCCCACAGATTTTCAGGTATACTATATACCAATACAATGTAGCAATAAAACCAAAACCAATGTTAAGACTTGTCCTTAAAGCTATATTGTGCCATCACATTTGCAGAAAATAATACAAGAGAAGTCTGTGGCTGTTTATGCAAACATGAATATACCGTGTTAAAAAAGCAAAACAGAACTCTCTCATGTCATCTGGATACTATGGTTATCCCAGCAGTCCAGCTCTCTGCTCATCAAGTCTGAGCTTAATGCCATATTCGCTAGGCTGGTTTGGTCACTAATCTTACCTCTAATATCATATGTTATACTTGCTTATTCTAATTATTAAAAAGGAGGCTGTCAAATACAGGAGTGAATGTAACTGTATATAATACTGCACCCTCGTCATGTACCCACTTGCTATAACTCCTTTTTTCCTTTCTGTACCCCTCTTATCGTTGCCTCAATAAAAGAAAGAATTAAAAAAAAAAGAAAAAAAAAGCAGAACAGAAATAAAACGTAAAATCTGTTTAAATACATTTCGTTCCAGTTGGCCTCCCACCTGGAAACAAAGGTAGGTGAAACTTTCCTTTTTTGCATAATATTCACATATGCTACAACCATCACATATTCAGTTGGCTTCCCTACTTTGCATTTTAATAGGTACATTCGTTTGACGAACAATTCTACTCTATACCAATGTCAAATAAGCACAGGGTATGCACTTATGTGATAATCAACACTTTTAGATTAGAATCTTCTAAATATCTGTAAATTAAAACCGTGAAATGCACTATGAGGTGTGAAGTGTCACTAAGCTTTTTTTAAAATGCAGAAAAATAAAATACTTTCTGAGGTGCATGCTTACTCCACACCTGGGTCACAGGTGATTAGTTGGGGGTAGAGATGCTTTCAGTTGAGTCGTCAAGATCACAGTTCTATGCTTTTTAAATTTTTTTACTACTTTTGCAGAAAGAGACCATTACTTTATTTATGAAGCCCCAACATGTTCTTCAAATGTGAAGAGAGGGTAAACAAACCATACAATGCACAGAGGGCACAAAAGTGTATATGTACAGGAACAAGCACTGACAATGGCTGTAAGGAAGTCAGAGAAGTTCTGTAGGCAAGAACTGGAGTTGGGGTAAAGGTGGAGGATAGCAA